TGTGTGTGTGTGTGTGTGTGTGTGTGTGTGTGTGTTTGTAAGTACCGGATATAAAAAGGACTCAATTACAGGATACTAACTCGGTCATCTTTATACCAGTTTCAACACAACTTAGAACAAATAAAATTCAACCTAAGGGATTTTGCAATTGCCAATAGGAAAAGAACCAACTCACGTGTTAAAATAATACTGGGCTATAAACAAAATTTCTAACCAAATTGAGTAAAACGTAAAGCTTTGCAACTACTTAAACAATCACTAATTGTGCATTGAAGAATACATTTTTATAAAACGGACGTTGCTAAATAACCCAGGAAAATTGCTGGCTATTCAGATTGTATGCTCCAGGCGTTGACAATAATTTCTGTCCTAACAATCCTGAATATGCCACTGGAAATTTTGAATAACCCTGTGACATGTTCCTGGTTCGATTATATAGATATCCTGTTCAACACTGAGATTCAACTGTTCGATTATTTGTGCGTTATTTCCGTACACTCTGTCTATCCAAGAGTAATAATAAAAATACAATTACTATTAGAAAAAGATGAGAAAAACCTGTTCTACAAACCCGTAGCTATTGTCTTAGAATTTCCGATTCAGATAAGAACACGTTAAGTGTTATAAAAACACAAAGCTCTCATATTTCTTTTTTCTATGTTCTGTCACACCGTTGTTTTGAGACAACAGAAAGTGGACCATGACAGACAATTGTTGATCATTCTTCAAAGCTACGACATTGGCTGCATTCTCTTGACCAGATTTTGTTCAAAGAGGGAATATGTTTATTTTCCTTTGAGCACGTGGAAAAAAGAAATCGTTGATCCTCTCTGGGATTTTGCTGAGAAGAAACTGAATGGTCTTACAACATCATGTGTTGGCCTGCGTTTCATTCAGATCAATACTAGATCTATATTGCTTATTAAGTGTACGTTTTTATCTGAAGTTTGCACGAACTCACATAAAAAAGTGGGCCAATGAATGCGCCCTGGAGTTTCCATAGCCGCACCCCGTTTCTCTTCCTGTTCGTCTCTCT